TTTTTTATTATTATTTTTTTTATACTTGTAGGATGGTGTTGACATTAAAAAATGAGGAGGGTGTTTGGTTTTGAAATGCTTGAAATATTGTGTTTTAATTTGAAGTTTTGGTGTTTTGATATGGATTTGGATGTTTGGGATTGGATTTTCGGGCTATAATCACTAGATTTGGGTGTTTTGAATTGGATTTTTAGTGCTTTTTATTAGATTTTTAATGTTGAAAGTTTTGACATTTTTTAGGCATTATATAAACCATAAGCAATCGTAAAAAAAAACATATTTCCATCTAAAATGCTTCCAAATGGCATTTTGACCATTGATAGAAACATTACATCATATCTTTATTCTCATTACATTTAGTTTATCTGCTATATTTTATTTTTTATCACAATAATCCATATGCATGTTCATGTTCAAGACATAAACTAAGAATTTAGAGTAATTTTGCCTAAAAGTTAGAGAATTCTAGCATGATTAACTTAGATCTTCTAGGCTTCGTATAGGTTTTACGAAGACTTAGAGTTGGATTTGAAATAAGTGGTCTTCGAGAGAATTTTGTAGAGGACATCTTAAGATTTCTAGAATGATATAGTGGGTCAAAATCTAAGTTCGTTTAGGCCTCCAAACGATATCTCATTTTCTAGTTTAGAAAGCTTATCCGAATCCTATTTAGAGCTTAGATTAGTTATGGCATTTAATTCATATCTAGAATTTCAGAACTCTAATTGATTCAAGGACAAACTCATGACGTATTTAAAAGGCATACCTATAATTCTTATGAAGTTTCGAATCCAAACTAGGTCGGTACGATGGAGGAATTTAGCTACAAAGTGGAATCCTAAGGTTGGTGGGATAAGTTGAGTCGGTGGAAATATTTAGCTTATAAATGAAGTTATGAATCTCTAATTTATGCAAGACTTAATGAGTTGGAAAGATAAGAAATAAGGCTACAATTTTCATAAATAAAGAAAACTATAATTCGGCATGTATCGAGTCCATTCAAATTGATTACTTAAGATCCACAAGCTTAAGCTTTTGCTCGTGTGTGTGATAAAGTACAAAGACACATGATTGTGTGTCTAACTCTTCTCAAAGTTTACGGTTATGTGTCACAACACAAATGGTCGTGTAACCTTATTTATTTCTTACCCTAGCATGTTATTATCTATATATTTAGGTTAGAGAGGAGGCGAGCGGTTGAGGGACACTTTCGGACGGAAAACAGATTTATTCATTATTTTGTTCGACTAGCATGTGTAACTAATTCATTTGTATCGGTTTAAAGGGATTTCAAAGCTCCCATAAACATATTAATGATGTAATCCGAGTAATGTTATTTTCTTCTCTCTTTAATTAAATTAATTATGTTATTCGATTTATGTGATTTATGATTTCTATTTGATTGATTTAGTTTGGCTAGTTAGATTGATTTTAATAGATTTTCATTGCCGGATCTAGAAATTATGATACGTGTAACTATCCCTTTTCTAACCACCTAGTGCCAAATAGTGGTAGATCTCTTAGTTCTTAAAACTTCAACGCATGAAATCTATAAAGCTTATTATAGATTGTGTTACTATTAACATTCAATTGAAGAGCTCATTTCATTTGGTGGTACTTAATGAAAAATTCGGATAACAATGCTTATTGTTATCTAGGATCAATAATTTCATAAGATAAGTCGAATAGCCTACTGTGGTTATATTCACTTGTGTGCGAGGGTGGAAGCCGAACTAAGAATCAATCATTATCTCCATTGTTATAAATCTATTTTACTTGTTGTAATTATTTTTTTTATCAAAGCATTAAACAATCGAACCTCTTTTTTATTTTAAGTCAATCGGATAATTGATAAATAGTCTAAACCAATTTTCTATAGGATTGTAGTAGTTAGATTTAGTAAGGAAATAACTATATTATTTTGGAGCATTCGACATGCTACCAACCATTAGAAAATAATAATGGTAAACTTGTAATAATTTGAATGTTTTTTTTTGTACGAAAATTTGGCGAAGAAAACAAAATTATTATATAGGGTGTTTTACGATACAAATATTAAAACTTTGGGGTGTAGAGTATAATATTTGGAAAATGAGAGTGCGAGTGTTCATGCCACCTAAATACATGGCGTTTTTAATAATTTACCCAAATATATAAAAAAAATTGCACATATTAATAATATTTTCTCAAAAAAATATTTAGATAGTACTATATATTTTTTAATATAGATAATTAGCTATTGCCCGAGTGTTACTTTTTGTTTAAGTTCGTTTTGTATGTATTTTATTATATATATATATATATATATACTCTTTAGAATTTTCTTGGGATGATGTCTTATGTATGACACATTTTATAACATTCAAGATAAAGTCTTAAAAATACAACAACATGGAAATTAATAAAGAAAAAATAATTATTTGATCTCTATATTTTTTGGATTGTTTTAATTGAAGTCTCCTTTTTTTTTCTTTTTTTTTAAATTATCTTGATTAAGTCTCTCTATTGAGATCCCACATATGATATATGTCATGCTTTCAAAAGTTGATACATCTCATTATCGTCGTATCGGCTCAAAACTAATATTGTTATAACAAAATGACGAAAACAAAACAAAATAAGTATTAAATAAACTCAATTAACACACAAAAAAAAAAAGATCTCCATTAAAATAATTTGAAAAGTAAAGAGACCAAGAGACCATATATAGGCAAAACCTAAATATAAATAATGGAAGAAATTCTCAACTCTCTAAACACTTTCTCTTACCTCTTTACGTACAAGTGAAAAACTTTCGAATTCCACATACTTTTTTCAAAAAAAAAATAAAAAATTCTACACTCTTTTCAAGATTAAAAAAACCCCAAATTTGCAACCATAAGAAAGGTTGCAAAAGTAAATTCACAACTGAATTGTTGCAAATTTATTTGCAATGGCTATTTTGATTGCACATTTTGCAACTGTATGCATGGTTGCATACTAGTTGCTCTATGTTTGCGTATTGACTAATCTATGACCATAATTAGTTGAAAATGGATTGCAGACAATATTTACCAATAAAAATTTATCTATATTTTTTACTTGATTTTAATAGGTTAATTAAACACCATAAATTTTTAAGAGTCTTAATTTTGATAAAGGATTTTTCTCAAATCCAACCACCATCACCAATCCTATCAATCATCTTCTATTTTCACCACCAAATACTTTCACCCACAAGATCATCTAACCGTATGCACAATCACAAACCAGTTGCTCTATGTATGCATGGTGACTGATTTTTACCAATAAAAATCTATCTATTTTTCTTGGCTGATTGCAGAAACAATTAAGATCTTGATTTTAATAGGTTAATTAAATCAACATCATAAATTTTTAAGAGCTCTAATTTGATAAAGGATTTTTCTCAAACTCAAACACCATCACAAATATTGTCGATCATCTTATATTCCACCGTCAAATACTTTTACCCACAATATCATATAACCCTAAACTTGATTTCAAATCTTTTTTTTTTTGGGTGTAAAGGAAAGAAAACACAAAGCTAACTCCTAAAAAAACCAACACCAGCTATATCCTCCATGAGCACAAACTAGACACCCACAAGATGATGGTAAATAATATTAAATGATACATCAGCTTTAGCACCTACTTGACAAGTAAATCAGCATCATGATTAGCCTCATGTAGAACGTGTCTAATCCAACATTGTGAAGATGCTAAAACAACTCATGAATATCCTGAAACAAAGCACGACAAGGACGAAAATCTGCAGAAGCTTTCAAGGCTGTACGAATAGCTTCTTGCAAATCCAATTCTACTAAAACAAACCTAAAACCCAAATCCCAAGCTACTAAGATGCCAATGCGATAATTGTAGAATACCTATTAAATTCAAAGAAACCTACAATTCATACTCCATTATGATCATGAAGAAGGCCAACCAAACCTGCTCTTCCTAGGTTTCCATTGAAACTTCCATCAGTATCAAATCTTTATAAAGCCATCAAGAGGAGGACTACAAGAAATCATTCTAAGAATGGGGATAGAACGATCCTCGAAATAATCACTGATAGCCAAACATCTAACCCTCAGCATCCAATTGATCTGAAATAGTTATATTGTGTTGCTCGTTGAAAGTTTTTCCAACACAAAAACGTTGTTATCGTGAGCCATACACAAACGCAAACCAACATTTCGTAAATCTTTTCAATTCCTTCAAGACCTATTTTGATGCCACCTTTTCTTCTTATAAGCCTACAAAAATAAAAATAAAAAGCTAAAAATTCTTCATCGTCATCGTCATCAACTCTCTTTGGATCGATCCTCACAAAACCAATATCATAATAAAAAAAAAAAAAACAAATTTGAAAAAAGTTACGTTTGATTGGTCATCTCTCTAAAAAAATAATAATTTTTTTTCACAAGATTTCTTTGTCCAGAGGAAAATATAAAAAGAAGTAAAGAAAATTTGAAATCTAAGGATTCTGCTCTTGATCTTATTATTATTATTTTTTTAAATGGGAAAGAAGTTAGAAACTAGTGGCTGTGATAAAAGAGAAATTTACTATTATTATTATTATTTTGTGTGTGAAAGGAAGTAGAAGTTGGAAGCATTGACGAGAGAGAAAAGTTTTTCATTATATATGTTTAATAAAGGGCTAGAATTTATAAGTGTTAAAAAAAAAAAAAAAGAGAGATTTTGAGTTAAGATGACGATGAGATGTCTCAACAGTGCAAGAGAGTCTGTTCCTACGATCCAATGGATCTAGAATTACTGTAGATGTATTTATTATTATTATTGTTTTAATACGGGTGGTTTGCAAAGATTATTATAAAGAATCAAGTCCATCAAAAGGCCCAAAACGTGATTTGGGTTTTCCTTTTTCCTAGTCACTTACCCTCGCAGCCCATGTCAGCCATATGCCACTCTTCGCTAGCTGCATCAACCACTGACAAAAACCCTTCAATTCGTTGATTTTTCAGGAAGAACAAAAAATAATGGGATTTGGAGCTTTAAGAAATGCAATTCGACCCTTATCGAAGACCCTTATAACCCACACCAGAACTTCTTCAGCGACTCCGTTTTTGGCCTCAAAACCAGACTTCAGCCTCTCTATCAGTGGTGGACTCCAGTGTCCATGGACTCAAATGATCAGGCATTTCAGCTTCTTATCTGAATCAAAGCCTTTTGATAGATTAACCGAAACTCGGTTTCCAAAGCGACGACCAGTCGATAAGCCTCGGAGAAAAAGAGCCAGCTTGAAACCTCCAGGTGAGCAACTAGAATTTTGATTTTTTTTTAATTGATTTGGCGCTTTAGGGTTTTGTGGTATTCTGGAAATGTCGTAGCTTTTGTGGTGGGATTTGGGTGTATTTTTGTGGGATGAATTGGACTCTGATGGAAATGGCAATCTGATTTGGGGGTTTTGTGGTTTTATGGGACTAGGGTTTTAGAAGGAATTAAGGGATAAGTAGTTTCTTTCTATAGTATTTTGTGTCTTTGTGGATTTGGATTGGCTTTTTGTCCGAAATGGTAATTGGATTGAGAATAATGCAGGTCCATATGCCTGGGTTCAGTATGTACCAGGAGAACCCATTAAACCCAGTAATCCCAATGAAGGGAGTGTTAAGAGAAGGAATGAGAAGAAGCGCATTAGGCAGCGCAGGGCATTTATAGTGGTTCGTGTTCATTAATCTTGTAGAAAGTTCTTTGCTTGTTTTTAGAGTAATTCTATTCTTTTCTTTTTTTGTCAATTATTTTGCTCGCTTTTTGATGAGTTTTGTTGGGTGATTGCTGTTCTAGACTTTAAAATTGTGTTTTTTAGGGGCAGAAACAAAATGAAAGAAAACATGGTCGATGGAAAATATTATGTCCTTGTTGTGTCATTTAATGGACAAAGTAATGTGTAATTGTTTAGGACCGAGCATTTGCTCAATTTTACTGTAAGGGAAGTTAATGGGAGGATATACGGTAAAATGGAAGTGATAGATTTGATGACTTTTTGTTCTAGCGTTCTTTGCATTGTTTGCTTTTACAGAATCTTGCAGTCAAAGCTTAAATGGAATTTCATAAAGAAAGTTAGTGAGAGGATATATGGTTAAAGTGAAATTATAGACTTGGTTGCTTGGTGTTCTAGTGTTCTGTGGCATTGTTTACTTTTGTGGAACTAATCAAACCTTGAATGGAATTTCATATCCACTGAATTAATGCGTTTGTGCACAGTAATCTGATAAAGATACTAGATGTTACTCTTAAGAACCCTAGGTGTGAAGCTTAGGTTTTTCTATCCTCTAGATGCAACTCCTAGAAACCCTATTACTATCACCCTAATAGTTTATACAATTACAGCAGAAATCCACATCAACAAAGCCCTAAACAGCCTCCAAAGTCAGATCCAAAACACCCCACCCCAAAAAAAAAGGCTGTCCTGCATCGCAAGGATAAGGTATTTGTACCAATTAGTTTCCATTTTCACTCCATCCTCACTTTCTCGCTAGCCTTTCCTTGGTTTTGACCGTCGTATATTTCACTTTGTGCTCTGTGAAGGATTCATTGAAACTCCGGGAAAAGCTTTCCAGCATTAGAATTGTTTCCTGTACTAATTGCATGTACTTTGATTGCCTATTTCTTATTTTCAAGCAAGTCTTGTTTGTTAGAATTGTGCTGGTTGAAAATGATGTACAAATTGTTCAACTTTCTCAAGAATTGGCAGGTGGCGTACTCTGATCATTTATTAACTATCAAAAGATAGCCTGCCTATCCTGAATTAATGTGGGAATGATTTAATTTGATGTCACCTGACATGGGTCTTTGTGTGACCAATGTGAGTGAGCTCTTAGCTTCTCACAGTTTACTCTCCTTCATTAGTTCCATGGATAAAGATGGATGCAAGGATATATTATGCAATGCAGGATATTGATTCTTGAATGGAAAAGTTACGTGTTAGTTTGTAAAAAAAGATTATTCGTAAACAGGTGTCCTATAACCACTTTGTTTGTAATGCGATTGTGCTACCGTTGTTTGTTTTTGCTAAACTCATTGATTATCATGGTTGATTCTCACCCTTGAGAGAACACCATTAACACTTGTCTTTCTTGGGCTTCATTATGGATCTCAAAAGAGAAATTCAATGTGAATTGACCAGATTTTATGCCAAATGAGAAGCACGTTGTTATCAAAAGGCTTTAATCATTTGTTTTCTTTGTCTAGTGTGTTGTCAAAACTGTTTATTTTAATTTAACCAAACTTTTGATATTATGAATGTGTGTTTGTGCCTGTGCATTCATAAATCCTCATTTTTAAAAAAATCTTGTATTCCACCCTACTGTGTGATTATTTTGAAACGTCCTTTATGGATGGCAGAGGGCTTGACTTAAGACTTGCTTTATTCGCATCTGGAGATATTACTACTTTCATTAACGAGGACTTGCTTTTGGGTATGAACAGGCAGAGGCAAAGAAACGTAAAGCTCAGTTGCAGGAGGCTAATAGGAAGAAAAGAATTGCAAGGGTAGAGCGTAAGATGGCTGCAGTCGCTAGGGATAGAGCATGGGCTCAAAAACTGGCAGAGCTGCAACAACTTGAGGAAGAGAAGAAAAAATCTATGGCTTAATAATTCCTCCTCACCCATCTATATGCAGTACTATTGCTTGTTATCAGTTGAATATTAGACCAAATTTTGTAAGTTCCTCACATGTAGTTCCTTCCTGTCTGTTGGTTGGGTTTTAACCAGTGCTGCTCTTGATGCCATTTAGTTCTTCATAACAACTTTGACATTCTCTTTTTGCACAATTTTTTACTCGCTCTAGAAATTTTTGTTTTATAAATGGGATGCTGTACTTTGGTGTGCGAAATTAGGAAAACATATTCTGCAACTCCTTGGGGTATATTTTAATTGGCTAATCTTCTATCTTTTCTTCTCCTCTTCTTCTGCCAAACTGATCGATTATGTTTTTCTGGATTTGTATCTTGATAGCAGACTTGTAGCATTTACTTAGAAACTCACCTCCCAAGAAATAGAAAAGAGTAAAATGCAATTCCGTTAATCATGTTGGATGATTTGATGACCTTAATATAACTTGGCTAAGTAAAGGTGTTGATAGTAAAACCTGCGAGCATGCATGACAGTGCGTGCATGTCTTATTTTGTGTTTTTTAATTAAAGCCTTGTGATGGTAGGATGTTGCAACTATTTATACAGCCTGTTGGCCGTCTGCTTATCTATCAAGTTTATCATGGCGGTTCTTGTCTTATTTTGTTCTTTTTTTAAGCTTGGAGGGAGGAGATTGGATTGAATGAGATGGTTTATAGAGCTGCCTAGAGTTTCCTACTTTTAACTATTCACATGATGCTACCTAGTGTCCTCTTAAGTTATGGGATTGCACCTTCAAATGTGGGTGCTTATTCCATCGATTACAGGGCGGTTTCTTTGTTGTGGCATTATTTTCCTCTGTGAAGAACTATATATCCTTCAATTCTTGAATTAGATGGCTGAAATTATCAAGTAGAGTCGTCATACCGTTGTTCTTAAAGATAAAAAACTACTATTATCATGGATTGTAATGACCCAAGAATCCTTTGGAAGGGGTTTCGAGCTGCCTAGAATATCTGGATTGCAAGATTGGAACACGAATGTATTGTAAATGCAATAATTGAAAACTAATATTTAAACAATATGTGATTAACAATGATCAAGCAACTTAAAACATCTTAAGTTTTTTATAAACGATAATGACTTTGAAAATATTGAAACTTATAGATGTTAGTATTGATGAACAAACATCAATTGAAATTCCAAATATCGAGAGCGATATTTGCATGTGTTACAACTGAAGTAGAAATAGAATGAGAGATGATCGATTTGCCTACTACTATTGGTTATTGTTATTGTATATTAATTATTAGCTACTGATTACTACCTACAAATTATAGCCTATTTTGTTTCAAGTGCGAAAATGATTTGAGAAATAATACTAATAATTTTTATGTGTTTGTTGTCTTTTTTGCCTAGTTACAATTGGTATTTATAGTGTTTACATTCTTCTTTACCGATCACGTTCTTGAGTTGCAATGCTTTATGTTTGCCTTGAATCGCAATGCTTCATGTCTTCTAATATTTTTCACTCATTCATTGCAACCTTCTCATTTCCCTCTTATTTTTGGTTTTTGCTATAGTCAGTTGAATTAGTTACTTTCTTATTAGTCATTTATTTTAAATAGAACTTGATTTTCCACCTTGCCTATGATGCAATTCTGTTTCAAATTATATTAGGTTTTTCTATCTTTTAGTTATAAGGTTCTATTGGACTTCTTTTCTAGATGGGCTTGCTTTGTGGATTTAATATTGGTCCTGCTAGTGGTTTTTAATAACTTATAGCGTGGGCTTTATGACCAAAACTTCATTGGACTTTGATTAATTTGTTGAGCTGTCAGGCCCAATCAAATTTTGGTTTAACATCTACCTTCTTTTTTGTACATGAAATGGCTGCTTACCTGCAAAAGGAAACAATTACTTTGGCGCCCGTTTGTTTGTCTCCCCCTAATTTTTGAAATTGCAACATGTACTTGGAACTAATACGTAATCTCAATTGTTATTCTACTGTTGGATCAACTGCTATTGAAACCTTTTGATTTTCCTTTTTCTTAATTATAGGGTTTTTGATTTCTCTTCTCCAAACTTTTGATTGTCGTCTGTTTCATTTCGATTAGTTTTTATTTTTTTTGCAATCCCTTACTTAGATTCTGTTCCCATGGCTTTTAGCAGATCTACTTCCAAATTCAGATCTCGAAGATTCTCTTCTCCTCTTCAATCTGTATCTGGCATTGCTCTGCAATTAGACTATCATTTTAGGTCTATTCCTTTTCATCATCCTCTACTGGTTCAACCCACTCTGTTGTCTCATCTTCGTGAAGTTTGTAAGGCTCCCATTCCTGATCTTTTTTACTCCAACGCCCAACCTCACTCTCTAAGACCCTCTCTGTTTTGGGGTTATGAGCTTAAGGATGATGCTCGAAAAGCGCAGGAACTTTTGGGGTGCTTAGTTCTTGACGAGAGGGCTTTGATTCTTTACCAGCCTAAGATTGCCCAGAAAGTAGTATAGAATAACTTTACTAGTTATATCAAATGGCCAACCAGGACATGGCCCAATGCCCAACCTGAAATTCATGTCCTGTATTATCAATTGAAGGGCTACTCTCGTATTCAAAAGAAATGGTGCAACATGAAGGTTATTGAGGTGTTTGACCTCACAATGTATGGCATTCTCAGTCCTAATCCTTTTTTTTTTTTTTTGGGCTATTCTTAGCCTATGGATACTGGAAACAACTGTATTCATACAAAGAGGAGTTCTATGGGAATCACGCTGAAAGATATGGTGTCCCTCACTAGTTGGTTTTTGGTAGGGGTGGATCTCTGCCATTTTGTGGCGTCAACTGATTTTGATCCCAGCTTCAAGGCTTAATTTCCAGAGGTAGAGGTAAATGTCTGATATACTCCTCTTACGCTCAGGCTTTACTGTCTTTCAAAGACATCAAAGTTATAAAAGTGGGCTTCTACTTACTCTAGCTCTGTAAGTATGTCGTCTGTTGCTAGAGTACCACTATGAGTATAAGATATATGTCCATATTTGCTGCTATGTTTCGGGATAGTGAGCCTATAGCACTATCGCTTTTGTTTTTTGCTTATGGCCATTTCTGAATCTTTTCAAAAATTCTGTCTGCTTTTTTTTATCTATGTTTTATAACAACCCTAGACATGGTAGAAGACCTTTTAAGGGGGATGGAATTTTAACTTTTATTGGAACAGACTGTGATCGTCTATATTGCTGTTATTGAACTTCTTCAAAGTTAGATAGTGTTTTGCCGCACAAACATTTTTGCCTCTTGATGGATTAAGACAGTTTGGGGACAACATTTTAAAATTTCTTACATTGAAGCTGCCACTACTACTATCCTCAAGAAGAGCTTTACCAAGGCTCTCTTAGATGTTCTCAAACACCTACCTAGGGACGCTTCCTTTCAAGACCCATCTGAACACTCTAGTGGAACTGAAGATGAGGAAGAATATCCAAATTGGCTCTCTTAGATGTTCTTACAAAGGTATGTTTCTTTTATTACTGCACACTTACACATTGTGTGTGTGTGTGTGTGTGTGTGTTTTTTTATAGAAATGTGTTCTTATTATTGAGCCATTTTATTGCCTACAGGCTCTACGACTAGTTATGCTCCAACGCATACTACAGGAAAAATACGAACCCACTTGGGTACTGCTCCTCCTTCTATAAGAACTTCTTCCCTTACAAATGATGTTGATCTAGAGGTTGTTTTGGCTGTTAGCGTGCGAGGCTTTATAGCATCTATCAGGATTCAAGAATCAAAGCTTTTGTTCCAAAACTCTCTTTGTTCGCCTAGATTAGAAAAAGGGTAAAAGGAAAGTTATCTTGGGAATGGAAGATTTGATTCTTTTAAATACAATTCTGCCCTCATTCATCATTTTTTTAAAAGGTCAAGAGAAGGTCCATCTAGTCCTTCTGAGAGTTCTAGGCCTGTTTAGAGCACCCCTACTACTATCTTAGAAGAAGTATGTTTTCTTGCTTTTTTTTAATAAAGTTTGTAACCAATTATCGTGAGAGTTATTCTATCATGCTTTTGACTACAAGATGTTGTTCCTTTTACGTAGCCTCTTCAAGAACAATTTGATATAGCTTTTGAGGTACCCTGTACTGAGGCTATAAATAGATCTCATGTGGTTCCCAACATTCCTTCTGTTCCTTTAAAAATAGAATTTCGAAGTACTCTGAAAGTTGAGGTCGAGACTGAGGTTCTACACCTCGTGACTGAAACTGAGACCTTTATAGATATTGACACTAATGCCACAGCTAATCTGGATGGTACTTCTACTTTTCTACTAAAAGAGAGTAATGCAGATTCTCCTCATCTTATTGTTTTTAGTAAAATTATTTCCCTTTTATTTACCACATCCCGTTCCCTTCATTGTTTACAGCTATCAACTCACTCATTCTTTACTTTCACATATCCTTTAAAAGGCTTCCTTCGTTCATCTTCTTCCTTTAAGTGGTCTTTCCTGTCTTTTATTGCTTGCCTTTTGGAATTAGTGGAGTTAGACCTATTTAAGGAGATTATTGCTTCTTATAATTTGATTTTAAGACCTCTCAAGGATCTCTCTCTCAATGGAAGGAGCAGCTCTTGAGTCAAGGACCATATCTATCTTTTCTTTTTGAGGTTACTGAGGCTCTAAACTCAGCTTCTAACCTTCATTCAAAGCTGGAAGTAGACCTTCAAGCATTAAAGGCAGAGGCTTCTTCCCTTCGTGAACATTTACAAACTATTAAAACTTTTATTCGAGCTAAAAAGATGGCTGTTTAGGAGGCCAATCAAGTTATCAATGATATAAAAACGAGAATGGAGATTGTTCTTTTATCTTATGGATTGCCTAATTCTGTAGTATACTCCTTTGAATGTTTAATGCAACATTTTGGGCTTTGATCCTTTTTTAATACTTTGGATTCTATTTGGTACCCTTTTTTTTTTTTTTTTAGAAATCTTCCTTATTTATATACATGTTGCCTTTTTTTTTTTTTTTTATAATTATTAT